AAGTAATTAATCTGTACAAGAGTGCCCATGGTACGCCTACTTTTGTTGTCTAACACGATACAGACGCACTTGTGAAATCGAATATTTTATTGCAAGACCAGCTGCATTTGGCCCTGCAGCTTGTCCTTCAGCGCGTACCACCAGACAACGAGTCCAGTGTTGAGAGTCTCGTGAAAAGTATATCGGAATCGGTTAGACTAATATTGTTACATCTAAACACGTAATTATTTACACATAGGCCTATACGTCGAGTGATTCTGTGCGCCGCGATTACGTCAAAAGCCTTTGCTCAAAGCTAGTAGTTGTCAATGCGGATTACCAAAAACTTGCTCAAGAATTCGAGGCTTTTAAGCTGGACAATGTGTCCGACATGTCATCCAAGGTAAGTATAATTTGTAGTGCTTATAAATAAACATGTTTATTATTTTATGCACTTGTTTATTTTTTATTATTGTGTTAATTGTAAATAATACAAGCCTATTGTCCGCCACGAATGCCTATCATGTTACCTGTGGCGTGTATCGGATCGCGTTCACGAGAATGTCCTGCGACTTGCCCACCTCCACAGTAACTGTTATTCAGCGTTTGGCAGTAGTATCGTTGCGAGGCACGACACTTGTATGGGCATACTTAACTCACTTAAACCATTCAATCACCATACGGAGGGTTTTACATACGAGTTCATGCTTAAATCTTTGATTCAATTCTGCGCGTCTCTGGTAGTGCATTCACTGTGACAAGCTTGTACCTCTTTGGTAGAAAGAAAACAATTTGTTCTGCTGCCTGCTTAACAAGGTCGAAGGAGGTTTCCCCGGACAGCGTCAAGATTGCACTAGAGAGAAGTATGTACTTGACCAGCGAAGCCCTTTTACAGATAGATTCATTCCAACGCGCGCACCTGAGTGGCCCTGCAGAACTTTCAAAATTCAGTCAAAAACGAAAGCCGTCTTTATGACAGTGTAGCTAACAACTTTCACTTTCCACATCTCCCTATTTTTTGTGCATCAAGGATGCCGAGAGCGCTAACCCTAGTTCCCAAGTTATATTCTACGTTCTCACTGTCACTAAGGGATACTATAGAGTTATATTTTTATGATTATCCCGCGAGAGCAAAGCCCGTCACAAAGATGAACCGGCTATTGTACAAGCTGATGAAGGAACACTCATCAGCTAGGCTTCAAGAAAACGTTAAACTTTCTCAACATTGTACGTCTGGTAAACATTGATCTCCATTTAGACGTTAAATAGTCTTAAAAGGTGTTCTATGGAGGCCGGCGAGTTATAATAAGTCAACTTGCCACTTCTGCTTACGGCAATACTGACGGCTGCCAAGCTACAAAAATCGGCTTGCGGGCTAGTTGACTGCTAAAGCTTATCACCACAAAAAAGTACACGCAACTGGCCTTTTTCCGTTCCACCATTCAAGGCTCACTCAAATCAAACACCAATTCCCTCTTATTTTTAGTTATACTGGCGTGGAGAGACATCGCTGGAAGGGTATATTTGTTCGTCAAGTGGTCTTGTTGTTGGGAGTCTTATCAGAAACGAAATCCTTGGAGATTTTTTGCAACAATTTGTTTTGTACCGCCATAGTCATCGGTTCGTTGTACTGCTGGGGCAGTGATGCTAGCTGATCGAGGGACACTACGTAGTTTACGATACATTTAACTGTTACGTATATCAGAACCCTGGGGGTATTCATTTGTTATCGAGAATCTCCAAGACTTGTTATCTGTCCGCAACACTGGCTTCTATCGCAAATGCACCACAGGTTATGTTCTTTTTCGTTCCAGCCGAAACTAGCACGTCTTCGGACCGTTCTGAAGGGTATTGAGGCCATGCTTCCCTCACCGGACAGTCTTGGACAGAGGTGCGTGATTATACGATGGCAGAACAAATAATTTTAATTACTATTACAACCAACCAATTTTCACCTGACAGATTTTTCTATCATGCAGCCTCTAAGGCATATTTTTTCTGAGCTTTATCTTCATACTACAGGCTGAATATATTACGACAGACGATTTTTATTTTGCGTGTGGTTAATGCTATCTTATTATCTGTTGTTTATAATTTGCTTGAATCGTCACCTTGGGCTTTTTATGTAGACGAACTTAGCATACAACAATCCTCTTAGTTAGTAGAAGCACCGTTGTATTGAATGGCTTGGCGATGGGAGCAGAAACTTTAATGTCGACAAGTTGGTTAAAAGCAAGCGTCCTCAACGACTAAACCATCGTTACCTTATTCCCGACGACATATTCCTGTCTTTTATGGGCTTTGGCCCTCCTCAGGAAAGTCAATGCTACACTTTTGAGACAATGCAACATGGTTTGCGAAGAGGAGTGTAGTCACTATGGTCTACAAATATTTTATCAAGGCTTGCCATCTGGATCTACGAAGTGTTTGGACAAGCATGGGAGACGATAAGGCGCCTGGTATTTCGAAGGAATTTGTCCATTGCCCCTTGTAGGAGTTTTCGATTAAAGTTAAATGGCAGTCCATGTTTTTCAGTCAATAGAAAAAGCCTTTAAATACTCAGCGTTAAGGACGTCTTCTCGCTGGCTTTATACAGTTCAGTTTCAAGCATGCCAGAAGCTTCCTTCAGTAAAAGATGCCCACCTCCCAAATGTCTTATCTGTATGAAATCCAGTAATCCAGTCTGTTTTCGTAGTGTCGAGTCCGTCATCGTGCCCAGAATTCCATAAAGAGAACTGTGAGCGCAAACATTGGCTGTCTGTCTAATCAACCGTTTGTAGTGCCATTTTGGAACTGGCCGACACCTCAATCTCACCAGTTCACTGGTGTTCCTAAATGTCCATTCCGCAAGCGTCGATGTAACTGCTGAAATAAATGGGATACAGGAGCCTATAGGGTGATTTATCTAGCGTCTGTCGTCATAATCAGAAAGAAATTTGGGTTTTCGGAAGTCAGCTAAATATTGAGGAGAACAAGTTTAATAACCTTATTTTCTGTCATATTCTAATAAAACCTGTTTAGAAAGGAATACTACTGTTATCATTGCGAGTTTTCTCGTTATGGGTTCTGTTCTGTAATGAAAGTTGGGTCACCCGTAGGCGATTTCAGATGAACTTTTGATTTTTTACACGTAAAGTACAAGAGTCTTGGGGCTTGACACATGTAGAAAAGGAAGTCTATAGGTGGCATGGTCTCACCGGATTAACTGCATAATCTGGTAGTTTGCATAACTCTGGTTGCCTTCCTCTGGCGCAGAGTCTGAAATGTTAGGCGTGACTGAGGACCCGCAGACATTTTTCGATCTACGGTGTATCTGTTATCTAACAAGTGTTTTATACCAGAGGCACGTTAAATTTTAGAAATCATGTGATTAGATGCTGAACTAATCGGTTCGCTACTGATCCGTGCGTTTGCGTGTGAATTCATGGACGCAATTTCGAGTGCCACGCACTGACTATGTCTGTAGTCGCCTTTCCCCTTAGAATTGTTTTTCTGTCAGGTGAATATGAAGCGAACCGCATTGTAGATTTCTTAAATTGCTCGGTATAGTTTCCGCGCGATTGTGTCTGAATCATCGCCACCTCTGCTTGCCTCATGGACTTATATGCTACTGAGCTTCGACCGTACACCCGATCATAATGTACTCGCCATAGCCTCTTCCTCAACTGGAAGTTTATATATAGGTTGGGGGTTCTTAAGTGCTGTACCCACCTTGCGTGCGCTGCCATAATCGGCAGTTTTTACTTTCTCTTGCGCATTTGTAAGCGCGGGCAGCCCCAGTAAGCGTGTGTCCCAAACGCAGCTAGATTGCAAGTCGTATCTTCTATCTGACAATAGTTACTCATTTACGACGAACAGAATCACAGTACAGTTCAGTTTTATTAAGGTAAAGGTAGGCGAGCACCTTTGGATTCCCTAAAGAATGCATCGATGCAGGAGAGGAGCTCAGAAACAATGTTGTTGACATAGTTGCAGGCGAAAAGAGTAAACATACACGACTACTGTAATTCCGTATAAATTTTCTGGACGCCTAGATTAACATGTAGCTTTTTAACGTGAAGCGCTTAAATGAACTCATACGCGTAGATATAATAACATCTTCGGGCTTAGCGTTCAACGCTGCAACCACTCTGTTAATGAAGAAAAACTTGCGTTCATCGAAGCTTACTTCGCCTGGGCGTGGTTTTAGAAGCTGACCGCGCAAAGTGAGGTGATAACATTTAAAATACCATCAAGCGACGGTCGCACTTTACCGTAGTAAGGACGTACGATGCGGCTTTCTTAATATTTATCAATCCTGATTTTCAAATTAAGTGGCCACGCGGTCAATCTCCAAGTCCCCTGGCAATCTTCAGGCCTTATATTTATTCTTCACCCGGTCGTGTGCAGTGAACAACGACCTTGCTGTTACATATTGTTTTTTGTGCTTCTGCTTTTATGTATAGGTAACTTGCGGTTGAGCCGCCATGAAATTTGTTGGTATCAATTAATCGACGCCTGTTCTAAATTTGAGCGATGAAAACATGCTTCAAATAGTTGATCAAACAAATCTTGACATTGACGACTGTTTTTGCTTTTCTTAGCAGCCTTATGACGGAGGCCTCATTGGAGGAGTTCCCAGGGACAGCTGACGACGAATTGGGCGAACTGTGTGTTCTTGCTGAGCGCCTAAGCTCTCGCCTAAGGACTCATCTTGAGGGAAAACGTAAGTGCTCTTTGTTAATCCTTTTTTGCGTTCTGTACTTGTGACGGCAGGAATTAATTGGGCTTCATCGAACGGCCAGCCGACTCGCCTTCCTTTTCTGGGCTTATTTTTAAAAAATAGGGAACTTAGGGCACCGACGGTCCAACAGCCATACCTTGCTCTTCCAGTGATGGGGGTGCAGTGTTTGTATTTGATGGGTTACAGACAAAGTCCTTGATGCGGCTATTTATTTACATTAATTTCATCTATTTCCCCTCAGAGTACTGGCTGTCCACTTAAAATCTTTACAACAAGTCCTAATGAATGCTGCCCCAAATTACCTGCAAGTTACCCAGCTTCCTTCTAGACACGAATATAAAAATCGCCATTGACCTGGTGCATTTTTTGATTACTCCGTGGTGCTCAATTTAATTCCATGGAAGTCCCCGATAAAGTGGGAAATTTGTTATAATTATGTCGCTATGTTACTAGGAAATGCGCTTTCCCGCAACTAGGTGTCTGAGATATGTTGACAGTCGCTTGATTTAAGAAGGGACTTCTTGACGACTGTGACGGTTGTGAACCTCATTTTGATCATGATTTATAACTTGCTTGCCTGAACTGTCAACGCTAGAAAACCCATGTGAACTTTAGCAGTGTTTTATTAACTGCGATTTGTAAATCGAAGCATTTGTCTTCTTGATGTAGGAAATTTCAATGCGTTACTTCTTACAAAATAAATATAATGCACCACAATTTTGGGCATCTTGTCTAATTACTATGGCGTCTTTTACGCGAGTGTCTAAATTCCGTGAAAAAATAGGTTACCTAAGTAGTGACCCCTTCTATGCGTTTGTTATTATAGGTAACTTGAAAGAACCTCTGTCAAAAACCTTATCTCTTCCACGTAAAAACTGGCCGTGTTTCATGCCACTAAGTAGTTCACTCCCATTTAAGTAGTATTTTCACCTGAACATGTAATTGAAGATTTCGTACAATGGCTCACATGTTCCATTGCCTAATTTCGATTCCACAGTCGTGTGTCTCAGACCCTAGAGCCTTACTTCTGCACACACCGGGTAATGTTCCACCCAATTACCTCCACATTAACTTTCTTGGAGGCTAGACGAGAGGATTAAAATCCCTGTTTTTAGTTTTAGACAAGCAGGCTGGTACTGGCTTTGCCTTGAAACCAGTGCATTTTAGCTTTTCTGAACATGATAAAATCGGTTAGTCAGATGAATTAGCGTCTTAGCCCGCTTTGAGGGTACACTAAACTCCTTATCTCCGGCCGATTAGGTCTGGGATGGTTGCTCACTTCCTGGTGACTTTTGAAGTTGAAAGCTAGGCTGGAAG